GCCATGTTGCCTGTTGTAGGCAGGAAAAGGAAACTGAAGTAGTGGGGTTCAATCCCCATAAAGGGATGAGTGACTTCAATAACTGCAAGTATAAGCAGGGAAAGTCAGAATGATGACATGTCAGAGCATGGTTGTCCAAAGTACGTGGGGTCGAGGCATACTGACACCCGTACTCACATATTGGGCCCCAAAATGATTCGCATGAACCGCAATATCCCGTAAGGTTTAGGAAACACTAAATAATAACCCAATGGCTTGTCACTGAGAAGGGCAGGAGTAGAATCACAGGAAACTGGAGATAAGGATAAAACATAACATATTTAATGGATGAGGCTTACTGGACACCTCCCTTGAAATGACATGTGACTGTGAGGCATAGATAGGAGGAGGAAACAGACTGTCCATATCCTCATCATCATGTTCAAGCAAACCCTCACATTGCATAAGAGGACAATAATCAGGTGCTCAGAAGCTGATATAAAAGTAGCAAACTCCCTATGAACCACAGCCACTATTTCCTGAACAGATAAAGTTTGCTTAAATGCCATTGAGGTGTCAAGTAAAGCAACTGTAGTAGTTACTGCATCTGTGGTAGATGCCACATGGAATTGTGCATGTATGACAAGTGGATTTGACTAGGAAAATGTTTCTTCCAAAAATAATTCTCAAACAAATAAAAAATTCGAAAAAATTATGTAGGCAAAAAAAATTAAACTGTAATTCGAGCATATAAATAGAAAATCTGTCAGAAAACACATCCAAACAGTAATACTGCCAAACAAGAAGTGATTAAGGGCTGTATGTGAGGGTAGGTGGGAGTATCAAGGCTAGAGGCAAGTGAAAATTTGCACTTATAGGGGGCAGTATAAGTCAAGAAAAGGTATTTGTAAGATGTACCAGAATCAGGACTACAATTTAGGGACTAGGTACATTATTATCCACAAGTTTAACAGGTTAATAACTATACGTATCTATTGTTTAAGGGAAATAAGGAAAATTGATCTTTAAGTTCCATACTTGGAAGCACTCAAATAATATCAACCTACAAAAAATTCTTACAAGCCTGAGTTGATTAAACATCCTATCAATTCCATACAGCCATTTACTGAGTTAATTTCAGCTGTAGACATTAATTTGGAAAAAAGGTTGGTGATGTTGAACAGAATAATTTCTAATCCATCTTGTTTGAAGAAAGTGAGTGAAGACTGATGTGGTTCACAAGTAAATATTTCTTACTTTTTTCCAGCTGAAATTTGGAGTAAAAGTCATGTTGGTCAACACTGAAATCATGATGCATTGTATCACCATTTTCTTTAAGAGACCATAAATTTTTGTAGAGAAATGGTAGGAGGTAATTTATGAAAGTTTTAGTTTATTGTTCATTATTCTCAACTCAGATGACACTATAACTTGGTAGTTGAAATTTTTACTTCTGTGCATAATATTTTTTCTCTAAAATTAATTTTCTGTTTAATTTTTTGGAAAAATTTAGCAATTACAATATATGAGCTGCATATGGTGGGCTAAAACTAGTGGAAAAAATTTCATTCAAAGAACTAAATCTGCTAGAATAGACTTTTGTACCATATAAAAATGAACAGATTTTGAATGTTAGTTAAGATCTGTTTCTCTAAACTGCTACCTAAATTATCACAACGGAAGCTGTATTTAATGCATTTTTAAAGTTTTTTTGTTAAATTAAACAAACAATGGTTGTAAATAGTCGATGGGATGGTGTGGAATGTGTGAAAATTTCCTTATTTGGTGGACAGTTCACAATCTATAGAGCATGACAAGAAAGTTTCTTTGCGAGAGCAAATGTATTACTATAACAAGAAAGTGAGAGAGGTGACTACGTAAAGTACTGATGGGAAGAACGTACATAACAATAATATTTATGAAAAGTAGGTTTTTGTTTACTATGTCAAGGAATGTTGTGGAAAACAGAGTATATCAGAGGGTGCTAATGGATAACAGTAAGAAGAAAAATAGAACAGAAATAACTGAATTAATATTAAGAGAACTACTTAAGTTAATTGGAGAGTCCAGTGTTAGGTGGAAATTGAAGGAATTCTTTAGTCAATATGAAAATGAAATTATAAAAATTACAAAAACATTGCAGATGCTTGCAGAACAATGGGTACAAACCATCTTCAAAACGTTTGTTTGGTTTGTATATAAATGTAACATTATGAAAGAAATAAAGCCGATGGCTTTGACAAGAAGGATCATTGGTGAAAGCTCTTGAATCATCATATAATGTATTTCTGTAAAAAAAAAGCTATAATTCAGAGAATGGTGAGTGTTTTAACCCTCTTATAATGTTCAGTATTAAAGTATGTCCGTTATGTTATAATATGAGTGTTAAAGTGAAATATTTGATGAATAAAATACTCTTAGTACAGTGGAGAATGTACTGAGAAAATTTACATAGCCATAGTGCAGATACACGTGGATGTAAGATTTATTGAGTTTCAAAAAGTGTATTCTTTGGTTAGATAAATGGGCAGGTTGATTAGGTGATCAAAACTGTAGTTTCATGACTGACATGTTCTTCAATTTCTCCTCAATAGCCTAACAGAGAGGTTTCTTCAACTTGTTTTTTTTAAATACTCTTAGGCTGTTAGTAAAATTCTTTCAGATAATATTGTTTCACACTATATATATATATATATATAATTATTTGTATTATATATTTTGTTTGGTAGAGTATTTTAATGTGACATAACAATGATGTGGTCTTTAGATGTTTCCTGTAGTTCTAGAACTGAGGTAACATGATGAGCATGTGACTATTTTTAAAATTTTTTT